GCTCCACTTTCGCCTACCACCACCCGGCCATTTGGGGGTGCCCGGGGTGCACGGAGGAAACAGGGAGTCAGCCCGTGAGGGTATCGGGGGCAAAGTTTTCCCCCCTTGGCGGGGTTGGGAATTTTTTGTCAAGCCGCCCGGGTAAGTAAACGTTTGCCCTTTTGTCGAATTTTGTTGGGCCCGAAAGTAAAGCGTGGCCCAGGGGGCCCATGGGGGGACTAAAAACGTTTCGGCAGCAAATTTTGCAGGGCGCCTTTTTGGGGGCCTTTGGGGGAAAACCCTGAAAAAGATACGGGGGTTTTTGCCCCCCCCAGGGCCCCCCTCCATACCCCTTCCCTTACTTTTCTCCGTCACCCGACGTCAAACGGGCCCCCTATCAGCCAGTCAAGGCCCCAACACCTTGCTTTAGGGGAGGTTTTGCTGTTGGGCCCCTTTCCCCCTTTGTTCAAATCTCCTTCTTCCCTTTCTACTCCTTTTTTCCGGGTTTCCCCTCAGCAGTCTTTCTTGGAAAAACCGTTTCCCCAAAAGACAACTTTTGCGAGCAAGCCAACCCACGGTGCAAAACTGAAACCCCCCCTTTTCCCCCCCCCTGTCCCAAATTTGGGTGCTCAGGGCCCTCCCTTTTTCCCAAATGGGGGGACTCAGCACCCCTTTTCCGGGGGGAAATGTGGGGGTTTTGCCGCGCCGCGGTGGGGGAGTGCCAAGCCGTCAATTTTTTTGGCCCAAAAAGGGGATTTCCCGCCCTTTCATTCACATTAGAAGAGAAGGTGGGCCAAATCTTTGGATGGCGGTCCTGCCAAAGTGCACGGGGGAGTCCGACTTTGGAGCTGTAACTACGGGCAAGGGGCAGTTAATTTTAATTTTCGGCCCAAATGGGGGGGAACGTTGGGGCCCTCACAGCCGCACCCGAAATTGGACAGGTTTTCCGGGGCCGCTTTTTCCTCCAGTTTTGCAGTCCTTTTGGGCCAACAAAAGATGTCCGCCTCTACCACCTCTTTTCCTTTAAATTTCCCCCGGGCCCCCACCCCCGGCCAAAATCCCAATACCCCCCCTTACCCCCCCCGGGAAAAACAACCCCCAAAAACCCCCCGGCGCAAACCCGGGGCACGCCCGGGGGCGCCCTGGTTATGCCCCTTTCGAACGGTTTGTCACACAGGGGAGGAACTTCTCTTTTAATGAAAGAGAAATGACGATTGGCTCTGTCTCGCGCAAACTGAGTTAACAAATCGGAACATGTTGACCGACAACGGAAACGGAAATCACATGGTGTTGCTTCTGACGTCAAAGGAAGTGTTGTGCCATGCGCCGTGCATGGCTCACGTGTTCAATCTGGTTGTCAAGCGCTTCCTAAAATCCACCATCCCACTGCAAGACATCCTTAAAATGTCACGTAAACTTTGCATGCATTTTCAGCCATTCCTACACGCAAAGCACACCTCCTTGAGCTGCAGCGGCAGAACGGAATTCCACAGCATCGCCTGATCTGCGACGTATGCAACAAGGTGGAATTCAACCCTACACATGTTAGACCGCCTTTACGAAACAGCGAAAGGCCATCACCGATTTCCTGATGTTTAACAGCGGAATAAAGGTACTCCCTGTGTAACTTCGATGTCAGCCATTGGCAGCTCATGCGTGACACCTGCCGCTTGCTCAGGCCCTTTGAGGAGGCCACGCTATTCGTGAGTCGGCAGGACTATGGGATGAACGACGTCATTCCTCTGTTGCACGTACCTGGAACAAATGCTGGTTAACAATGTGCTGGTCAGGGTGCGGTAGACGTGGCAGCACAGATCTCAACGCCACATGACCCCTGTGGGGGCAGGACAGGAAGAAGAGGAGGAGGTAGAGGAGGACATTTGTGCTCAGGAATTATTGTGAGTGAAATGGGTTGGTTTTTTCCACTCAGCGGACAGGAGTGGAGGAGCAGGAGTAATCTGGTAGAGGAGGAGGAGGAGGAGACAGGAGGACCCAGGACGCACCGTGGCAGTATGCTGTGGAGATGGAGGCAGGGAGTCCCTCGCATTCCTTGGCACAAATGGGCCCACTAGCATGCTCGGTTGCTTGCGTAGCGACATGCCGAATAATAACCATCAGACAGAGGGCTGACTTTTTGGCTGTCCACCTTGTTGGGACCCTCGCTACCGTTCAAAAATGGTGGCCTTTTTCACACACCTGCTGAGAGGGAGGCCAAAATAACGTACTATAAAAACCACCTATGTAGTCAGTTGGTCTCTGCCTTCGTGCGCCAACGTCAATCCATCAGACACTGTGTGGGCCCTGTGCGCTCGCGTTCCACTGCCATGGCAGCAGTGGGTAGTGGGTGGGGGTGGTAGGAGCAGTGGTAGCTCCACCAGCAGCGGCTGCCTCAGTCTGCAGTCGATGATGATGTAGCTTTCTTCACCAGCGCAGTGAGGAAACTACTAAACCAGCCGCAGCATCAGCAGCATCAGGTGGACCTGGATCAGGACCTCAAACAACAGGCTTGGCTCCTACTTGGACAGCACCCTAGCCAACCGAGGTAGACAATCCCCTTGACTACTGGGCAACGAAACTTTGACCTTTGGCCCCAACTAGCTGAATTTGCCCTTGAAAGGCTGTCATGCCCGGCCAGTAGCGTGGCATCGGAGCGCGTGTTTAGTGCGGCAGAGGTATTGTAACTCCGCGGAGGACTCACGACTGTCCACCCAAAGTGTGGAGAGACTCACGTTTGTGAAAATGAATCAGGCGTGGATTAGTCTGGATTTCAAACCACCAGTTTCCTGACACAACTGACTAAATCCGCCATGAATCATGCCCCTGCCATGTGCCACTTTCAGGTCTACTCACACTGCTGGTGTGTTTCCATTTTTTGTCATAGGGTGCTGGCAGATTACGGGCCTCCCATAGGCTGCTGCCAGGCCCCTAATCTGCCATGGCCCCTGTACCGCCTCCTCATGCTGCTGCCAGGTCCACAGTGTCTCATGCCATGTGCCACTTTCAGGTCTCTCACAACTGCTGGTGTGTTCAATTTTTTGACATAGGGTGCTGGCCAGATTACGGGGCCTCCCATAGCTGCTGCCAGGCCCCTAATCTGTGCCACGGGCCCCTATACCGCCTCCTCATGCTGCTGCCAGGTCCAGAGTCTGTCATGGGTCCCCTGTACGGCCTCCCATTTCTTGCTGTCTCCACCATCGCCACACTCTGCCATGTGACCCACTTTCAGGTCTCCTCACACACTGCTGGTGTGTTCAATTTTTTGACATAGGGGTTTGCTGGCAGATTTCGGGCCTCCCATAGCTGCTGCCAGGCCCCTAATATCTGTTATGGGCCCCATGGGCCCCTGTACTGCCTCCTCATGCTGCTGCCAGGTCCACAGTGTCTTCATGCCATGTGCCACTTTCAGGTCTCCTCACACTGCTGGTGTGCTCCATTTTTTGTCATAGGGTGCTGGCAGATTACGGGCCTCCTATAGCTGCTGCCAGGCCCCTAATCTGCCATGGGGCCCTATACCGCCCTCCTCATGCTGCTGCCAAGTCCAGAGTCTCTCATGGGTCCCTGTACGGCCTCCCATTGCTGCTGTCTCCATCGCCACACTCTGCCATGTGCCACTTTCAGGTCTCCTCACACACTGCTGGTGTGTTCAATTTTTTGACATAGGGTGCTGGCAGATTACGGGCCTCCCATAGCTGCTGCCAGGCCCCTAATCTGCCATGGGGCCCCTGTACCGCCTCCTCATGCTGCTGCCAGGTCCACAGTGTCTCATGCCATGTGCCACTTTCAGGTCTCCTCACACTGCTGGTGTGTTCAATTTTTTGACATAGGGTGCTGGCAGATTACGGGCCTCCCATAGCTGCTGCCAGGCCCCTAAATCTGCCATGGGCCCCTATACCGCCTCCTCATGCTGCTGCCAAGTCCAGAGTCTGTCATGGTCCCCTGTACGGCCTCCCATTGCTGCTGTCTCCATCGCCACACTCTGCCATGTGCGACTTTCAGGTCTCCTCACACACTGCTGGTGTGTTCATTTTTTTGACATAGGGTGCTGGCAGATTACGTGCCTCCCATAGCTGCTGCCAGGCCCCCTAATCTGCCATGCCATGGGCCCCTGTACCGCCTCCTCATGCTGCTGCCAGGTCCACAGTGTCTCATGCCATGTGCCACTTTCAGGTCTCCTCACACTGCTGGTGTGTTCAATTTTTTGACATAGGGTGCTGGCAGATTACGGGCCTCCCATAGCTGCTGCCAGGCCCCTAATCTGCCATGGGCCCCTGTACCGCCTCCTCATGCTGCTGCCAGGTCCACAGTGTCTCATGCCATGTGCCACTTTCAGGTCTCCTCACACTGCTGGTGTGTTCCATTTTTTGTCATAGGGTGCTGGCAGATTACGGGCCTCCTATAGCTGCTGCCAGGCCCCATAATCTGCCATGGGCCCCTATACCGCCTCCTCATGCTGCTGCCAAGTCCAGAGTCTGTCATGGGGGTCCCTGTACGGCCTCCCATTGCTTGCTGTCTCCATCGCCACACTTTGCCATGTGCCACTTTCAGGTCTCCTCACACACTGCTGGTGTGTTCAATTTTTTGACATAGGGTGCTGGCAGATTACGGGCCTCCCATAGCTGTGCTGCCAGGCCCCTAATCTGCCATGGGCCCCTGTACCGCCTCCTCATGCTGCTGCCAGGTCCACAGTGTCTCATGCCATGTGCCACTTTCAGGTCTCCTCACACACTGCTGGTGTGTTCCATTTTTTGTCATAGGGTGCTGGCAGATTACGGGCCTCCTATAGCTGCTACCAGGCCCCTAATCTTCCATGGGCCCCTATACCGCCTCCTCATGCTGCTGCCAAGTCCAGAGTCTGTCATGGGTCCTGTGTACGGCCTCCCATTGCTGCTGTCTCCATCGCCACACTCTGCCATGTGCGACTTTCAGGTCTCCTCACACACTGCTGGTGTGTTCAATTTTTTGACATAGGGTGCTGGCAGATTACGGGCCTCCCATAGCTGCTGCCAGGCCCCTAATCTGCCATGGGCCCCTGTACCGCCTCCTCATGCTGCTGCCAGGTCCACAGTGTCTCATGCCATGTGCCACTTTTCAGGTCTCCTCACACTGCTGGTGGTGTGTTCAATTTTTTGACATAGGGTGCTGGCAGATTACGGGGCCTCCCATAGCTGCTGCCAGGCCCCTAATCTGCCATGGGCCCCTATACCGCCTCCTCATGCTGCTGCCAAGTCCAGAGTCTGTCATGGGTCCCTGTACGGCCTCCCATTGCTGCTGTCTCCATTGCCACACTCTGCCATGTGCCACTTTCAGGTCTCTCACACACTGCTGGTGTGTTCCATTTTTTGTCATAGGGTGCTGGCAGATTACGGGCCTCCCATAGCTGCTGCCAGGCCCCTAATCTGCCATGGGCCCCCCTAATACCGCCTCCTCATGCTGCTGCCAAGTCCAGAGTCTGTCATGGGTCCCTGTACGGCCTCCCATTGCTGCTGTCTCCATCGCCACACTCTGCCATTGTGCCACTTTTTAAGGTCTCCTCACACTGCTGGTGTGTTCCATTTTTTGTCATAGGGTGCTGGCAGATTACGGGCCTCCCATAGCTGCTGCCAGGCCCCTAATCTGCCATGGGCCCCTATACCGCCTCCTCATGCTGCTGCCAGGTCCAGAGTCTCTCATGGGTCTCTGTACGGCCTCCCATTGCTGCTGTCTCCATCGCCACAACTCTCTGCCATGTGCCACTTTCAGGTCTCCTCACACTGCTGGTGTGTTCCATTTTTTGTCATAGGGTGCTGGCAGATTACGTGCCTCCCATAGCTGCTTGCCAGGCCCCTAATCTGCCATGGGCCCCCGTACCGACTCCTCATGCTGCTGCCAGGCCCGTAATCTGTCATGGGCCCCTGTACCGCCTCCTCATGCTGCTGCCAGGTCCAGAGTGTGTCATGGGTCCCTGTACGGCCTCCCATTGCTGCTGTCTCCATCGCCACACTCTGCCATGTGCCACTTTCAGGTCTCCTCACACTGCTGGTGGTTTCCATTTTTTGTCATAGGGTGCTGTATGGCCTCCCATTGCTGCTGCCTCCACCGCCACACTGTGGCTCCACACTCTGGTTTTGGCCCGTGACTGCCCAAATGAGTGAAGTGTGCGGTGATTCTAAGATCGACGGCACTCATCTGCATGTCATACTGACTGTCAGTATTATTTCTCTTCCCCAGCAGACTCCAAGGGCATTTAAATTAAAGGTACAGTGTTCTGCACTAATATAAAGGCTCTCTGAAGCCTAGAAACACCCTTTTATAAGTTAAATTTGCAGCGAATAATATTCGACTCGAATCAAAATTTTTCCACGAATTCGCCGAATCAGTCGAATCGAATTTTTGAATACTTCGCTCATCTCTAATCTGGATACATTGTATGCAAAGCTCTATTTACATTTACACAATGTGAGTGGGAGATCAAAGAGCAATAAATCACTTATACCCCGGATAAGACACTATGTTTCTTTTCCCTTCTCTGCATGTTCCGTATATGGAGGAATAAACAAAGCAGCCAGTGAAGAAAGCACAATTGAGAAGGCTGAGCTGAGGAGAGAGGAGAGGAGACAGGAGGGAGAGGTTCAAGCTGCGAACACAGACTCATCACATTATCTAAATTGAATAACAACACCATCTCAAATTCAAAGAAAATAATTGACATTCCCATTTTTTATGAATGTTTTATTAATTTTTTATTAATTTTATTCACATAGAATTGACATTCCAATTTTTCATTAATTTTTTTATTAATATTTGTAATAATCACATATAATTTTTTAATTCACATTTATAAATGAATTTATGTTAATTGTATATTTAAGCACCACAGAAGTAAGTAATGATTGGATTATAGGTGGTATATTAAGAAATTCACACAATCAAAAAAGGTCAATCACAAAGGTTGATAATATTGGAGCGCGGTACAGTACAAGAATTCATAATGCCCAGAGAACATTTACTTTCAAATTGCACTATAAATCTTTTGTAAAAAGACCTCTATAAGGGCTCATTTACGCTTGCAGTGCCCTCTGAAGAGCAATCTGCAGTGGATGGCTCCTCAGGAGGAAAGAGGTGGTGTTATGTCGCCTTCCCATTGCCTGTTTAAACCCCTTAAACCTCACACCGTGCTTGAATGTGTCATGTTCAGAAGACAGTACTGCCAAATGCCGCAGCAGGAATCATTTTTGCTTTGCAAAGCAACGGGTTGCAGCATTCATACACCTCTGCGTTTGCAGTGTAAGTGGAAGGGGTTAGAAGGCAATAAAACACAGCTCAGCCATGTGTTTTTTACCACCTCAAACCACAAGTGAAAATGTGCCCTTAGCATTCTTGCCCTTTCAGTGGTAACATAAAAACAGTATGCTGTGTATGTGTAAGACCAGAATATATTTCAAAATTACACCAAAATGTGCTGCGTCTTGTTTCTGGTTTTAGATATTCCTTGCAGTTCTGCGATAACATAAAACAGTAGATTTTCATAATATTTATATATATATTTATATATATATATACTGTATATGTGTGTGTGTATAGCAGTAATATGGGTGGACTGCACAACGATGATCAATCACAGTGCATAGCAATCAGGCCCTCCCAAAGGCCATATATAGAAAAAAGAAAATTGTATTGCTGCACATAAAAAACTTTTATCTTTTTTTTATCACCCATTTAAGGCGATTTTTCAAGAATAAAAGTTTGGTACTTGTCTGTTAATTCAACTGATTTATTTATATATATATATATATATATATATATATATATATACATGCATATATATATATAAATAAATCAGTTGAATTAACAGACAAGTACAAAGTTTTTTTATGTGGGGGTCGTCTTATACGCGGGGTATAAAATGTGAACCTTGAGTTTGTTTGGGTCAAGCTGGCTGGATGTGTGGCAATACTGTACATACAGTATACCATGCTGAGCCAAGCTGGCTCAAAACAAATGTCCCTATGACAGATTAATCTGTCAGCCCGCTGGATGTGCGGTATATACAGTATACTGCGCTGAGCCAAGCAGTTTCAAAATGTACCGGTACGTCCCTCCGGTAATCAGACCGCTGGATGCGTGTATGTACAGTAGCTGCGGCTACATACAGTATACACTGGGCCAATCATGGCGAGTGATGTAATCTACTAATGAATACAAAGCCTGCTCGGATTGGCTGAGTCAGAGAGGTGGGCTGATGATGTCACAACCTCAGCCAATCCGAGCAGGCTTTGTATTCATTAGTAGAATACATCGTTCGCCATGATTGGCCCAGTGTATACTGTATGTAGCCTCAGCTACTGTACATACAGACATCGATCGGTCTGATTACCGGAGGGACGTACCGATACATTTTGAAACAGCTTGGCTCAGTATACTGTATATACCGCACATCCAGCGGGCTGACAGATTAATCTGTCATAGGGACATTTGTTTTGAGCCAGCTTGGCAAAGCGCGGTATACTGTATGTACATTACTGCACATCCAGCGGGCTGTATATATACTGTATACTATATGTAGCCGAAGCTACCGTATTACCGCACATCCAGCGGTAACCATCTGATTTGGAATTTGATCCATATGATGACTGTCTTACAAATGTATCACAAGATGTCATTCATGAACTTATGATGTCAGAGGATGAACATGAGGATTTTGAAGGATTTTAAGTACCGGTAAGTCATAACCATTTTAATAAAAAAATCTGATGTTTTTAAATGGTGTTGCCTCGGAAGAGGGGTAGTCTTATACGGAGAGTATAGCCCAAAACCTATGTTTTAACTGGAAAACTAGGGGGTCGTCTTATAAACCCAGTCGCCTTATACGCCGGAAAATACGGTATATGTGTGTATGTGTATATATATATATATATATATATATATATATATATATCTCCTTTAGATTGTAAGCTCCACAAGCAGGGCCCTCACATTCCTTCTGTACTGAAATGTATTGTGATTGTACTATCTCCCTTATATTGTAAAGCGCTGTGCTAGCTGTTGGCGCTATAAATCCTGTACAAGAAGACTAGAATTTTATATATATATATATATATATATATATATATATAAAACATACACAGTATATGACATTGGAATGTGGTATTTTAGAAATGACACAGAAAGTTTCTGCTCCTGGCCGAGTCTAATTTCAAGGTGTTGAGCGGTCACTATGAGCTGTGTTCCTCACATAAGAACCTATTGCTGCTGCTTAGGTGATATAGTCGATAATGACAAGCAGTCAGCTTTCTGGGACATAAGTATGTTTGTAAAGTTCCTCTCCCACACACACTCTCTGGCCTGTACTGGATATGACCCTCACCTTACAATGACGTAACTGTATTTTTCTAAAGTGCTGCATCTCTTAGTCTTTTCATTATTTCTTCCTCTTGATGTTTGTTTTCATAATTCAGAATCACCTCAGTATTACCCCTTACAAAAAAAAATTAGCCTTTGAAATCAAAGGCTCTAATTATCATAGTTTAGGATACTTAACTACTTGAGCTCCAGAAGATTTCGCCCCCTTCAGGACTAGCCCATTTTTTTGCTATACTATTCTGTGCTACTTTAACTGGAAATTGTGGGGTCATGCAACACTGTACCCAAACGAAAGTTATATTTTTTTTTTTTTACACAAATAGAGCTTTCTTTTTGTGGTATTTGATCACCATTTTTTTTCTGATTATAGTCAAAAATAGACTGAAACGTTTGAAAAATAAAAACAATATTTTTTACTTTCTGCTATAAAAACATATCCAATAAAAAAATAAAATTTCTTCATAAATTTAGGCCAAAATGTATTCTGCTACATGACTTTGTTACAAAAAAAATCCCAATACAGTAAGTGTATATCAATTGGTTTGCGTGAAAGTTATAGCGTCTACAAACTATGGGATATATACTGGAATTTTAATTCATTTTTTACTAGTAATGGCGGTAATCAGAGACTTATACTGGGACTGTGATAGTGCGGTAGGCAATCTGACACTAACACTTTGTGGGAACTGACTGCCACTGACATCTCCAGTGACACCAACACATTGATCAGTGCTAATATTATACACTGTCACTGTACTAATGACACTGTGTGTAGTATGTGCTGCTTTCACTAAGTGATGTGCCTGTGTCTACTCCCTGCTTTGCAGGGAGAAGAAAAAACAGCACATAGCTGCTGTTTGTACAGAGTTCTGTGTTGTTTGGCAACACAGGGCTCTGTTCTGTCATTCACTCATCCAATCAGCAGATCCCAGCCATAAATCTGGCTGGGACCAGCTGATTGGCTTGTGCTGTAGTGAAGGACAGCGGGCTCATGCGCACGCACACCCTGCTTGGAAATGCTGGATCACGTGTATATAAATGATCAAGCGGACATTGGCTGCTGTAAACAGGGCTGTGCGTAAGGGGGTACCACCAGTCCCCCTGTATGGGGCCCGGGCCGATGGGTGAATTGGATGTGGGCAGAGATGGTGATCAGCATGGCTGGGGGGCAATTACTGGAACAGATCCCCTGTATAGCTCTCTCTACAGGAGCTAAAATATGGCTTCTTCTTCTCTTCCTCCCTCTGACTTTCAGCTGAAGCAAAGAGAGTCAGAAGGGGATTGGTCCCAGTAATTGCCCCTCCTGCTGCACCCATTACCCTCCCTGTGCACCATACATTTTCCCTACTGCCCAGGCCCCCCTATGTGACACCACCCCCACAGTACTGCCACCTTCCCTCCTCTCCTTCCCTCCGGCAACTGCAAGCACACAGTAGGATCCCTTAAGATGGAGAGTGGGGGAAAGGTCTTGTAAATATGTCACATTTACCAACCCCTTCCTTTCCTGAATGAACGCAATGAGTGATCATTACCAATCACTCATTGTGTTCATTCATAACTGGTTTTGTTTTTTTAAAATTTGGTGGGCCCCTTCAGGTTGACTGTATGGGGCCCCATGGTTTCTAACAGCAGCCCTGGCGGTAAAGCCACAGAAGGCAGTCTGAAAGTGGTTAAGGCTAGGTTCACACTTGTGGGTGCGGGAATTACACCTGTTCCTGCACCCGCAGCCAAAACGTGCTGCTCTTTACAAAAGCACAGGCTGCCATTCATTCTAAATGCCCCCCCCCCCCCCCGAGCATCTTAAAATGCAGTGTGTTTGTGGGTTCAGGAATCGCTGGCAAACCTCATAATGTTTTCCCTGCAGCTGCATTTTAAGAATGGTGCATGGAATGGAGGCACAGCAGCCCATTCAAACACTG